ATAATGCACCAAGGATCTTCAATTTTACATCGGAAACCACCCCCAAAGTTTGAAATCGAAGCATTATTTCGACTAGTTATGCTGTACACAGACACAAAAAAAAACATTAAAAAAAAAAAAAAAACACACATCATTGTAAAATCAATACATTCATCACTTCGTTCAGAATCTAAAACTGAACACTTTATCGCAAAACTAATACATTCAACGTGCCGTTTAAAATCTAAAATGTAAATTCTTTTTAATTGCTTTTAATAACTTGTTCTATGGTGTAACTCAATATTGTTTTTAATAAATTATTTTAAGCGTAACTATGAACACTGACAACAAAATATTATAAAGCATATTATTGTAAATAATACGTCTAAGTTAAAACCAAACACGAAACATTGTGCGTACTGAGCCTATGAATAAATTTATGAAATTTATGAGTCTTAATCTATAATGTATTAGTAATTAGTATATTATGTAGAACGGGTAATTTTAGGTGATTATAAAATATTTTTGAAAATAAGTTTTGGTGTAAGCTTGTTTATTTATGGCTATCATGAAATCAGCAATTTTTATAGAAAACAGTAATATATATTTAGTACCTAACATTAGCTTATAAATACTTAGACAGATACATAATATCAWACGTTGATAATACACATAATATATCCCATTGAAAATTTACTATTATTGCTAGAACTACCATCAATAAGTACTTTTACAAACATTTAAACATATCAAATTTTTAATAATATATTGTGGATGTTTTTTTGCGTCAGTGTGACATATATGATGTATGTACAGAAGTCACTCGATAATTTGAAAAACTCTATAAATCTAATTAAATGCAGAGTCCCCTGAGAAAATCTCTATAATTAAAAGAAAATACATGTATTCCAGTTCCCTCGATAATTTGAAATGTCTGTTGCATAGGTAGGCGTAAATTTGGCTTGCTAGAAGGGGGGGGGCTAACGCTAAGATTATAATTTATAATTTATAATCTATAACATTAGAAATTTATAACAAGGCTATACTATTTTTTAGGGGGCTAAGCCCCCCTAAGCCCCCCCCCCAAATTTAGCCTATGGTCTGTCCGTGAGACACAATCTATAATTCGAGTTTTTATTCCACTAACCTCTATAATTCAAATAAAAATCTTACTATCAGTAAGTTAGACAACATGGACCAGATTGTGGCCAGCATTTTATCACAAAAAAAATATATATAATAATAATAACAGATTTCTCTAATATGTAAAATATAATWATATAATAAATAAATATCAATTAATAAATTACTTTAAAATACAATAATAATATTTATAATAAATAAATTTTATATGTACATACATACAATTTTTCACCTCTTTTTAATTTGAATTAATTTTTTTCCATCCATTATTCAAACACTCGGTAAATCAAAAATCTCTATATATCAAATGTTTAACTAGGTCCTTGAATTTCTAACTATCGATTGACTACTGTATATCTCTTTTCTACAGAATACCATCAACATTTCTGAATTTTTTGTTTCTAAAATTATTTTATGATTTTTACTGAAGTTAGTTAACATATCTAAGATCCAAATATCATACTATGTACATTTTACATTTAATATTGTGATAATACTTCAAGGTAAATATTATTCACATTATGATGATCTATGAATTTCAACAACTAATCCAAAAGTTATAAAATAAACTYCCATGTTTATCTTAAGTAGGTACCTTTATACCTATATAAATTCAATAAGAAAATATTTAATAATTTAACGGCTACCTAGGTAGTTATATTTATCTATAAATAGTTCATATTCTACAAAATAATGATATCACTTGGGCACATAATTATTTTAATTAATAACATTTTAAAAGTGGTATATTTAATTAGTTTTGTATACATGATATATCAACTAAAATAGTGTACAAATTCAGTTAAAAATTGAATGAACACTAGAATAATTAGGTCCCTTAAATTAACCCTGAATAATTGTGTTTTTTTACTATCATTTGTTTCCCTTTAAATATTATATATATATATTTAATTTTTATAAATTTTCAAAATCACAATATATCATTGGTTATTTTTGGCGTAAATTGAATGGAAATAAATGCAATATGCAGATGTGTATTTCACATGAATATAAAAACATAATTCAATAATAATACTGTTCAATGATATGAAAATAACCTGCAATATTATTATAATATGTATTATTCTCATATTACTTATTTATCCCATATTACGACGTTTAAATTTTAACTTCATAGAATTTTAATAATATAATAGCTGTGCTTACATATTATTTACAAATTATTTCACTCGAGCAATCACAGACGATTCATTTTTATTTTTATATCATCATCGTTTGATGTAATCTTTTTTGATTTTCGCTACAGGTAACCTGTACCTTGCCATAGGTCATTTTCCTTTGATCTTATTTATGCGTTTTACATTGACACTTTTCTTGAAAAGACCGTCCTGTGAGGCAAAAAATATTTATTTACTTAGTACTTTACGTACATATCTATTTAAATCGTAGTATTTTTATCTATTTTTTTTACCTTCAACAGTTGAATTTTGCCATTCAATGATGACCTGGTTCCAATATGTTGAAAAAGAGACGGCCTGAATGTTACCCATATTTCGTCTTTTCGTTTTTGACAATCTCTCTTAAGAATAATATATTTTATTAATAATATTATCAAAATAGCATAGGAGTAACTAACATATTGTGTTTAAATTTTGTTTTGTATGGCTTAAAAATTCAGAGGTCTTAAATTTTAATGGAAAATTAATTTACTGCATTTAAAAATTAAATGTAACTCCTAATTATCCATATTATACGCAGTTTAATTTGAACTAACGATTATAAACGAACAATTTTTTCAAAAAATTTAATTCTTATATATATGCCTGCCATGAAACAATTTACTTACGAGATCTTTTTCAAGATTACAAGCTTTTGTCTCCATCATTCCGTCAAGAAGCCAATCCCCCGGCTTATCGTTATAAAACATCACGATGAATTGTATCAGCCACGGTAAATCTGAACATCTCAACATTTTGCCTAAATATACGTTGTACATTTTTATACCACTAGTGATGTTACTTTGTAACTGAAATAAATATTACCAATAAAACCTAGTCGACAAAAGTCTAATATGAACCATTCTTGTCCGTCGGCTATTCTCTGCAAAGCTGTTTTTTTCATAATTGTGTGGAATTGAGGCTTTGCGACTACATCGTCTTCGAGTTGGACATAAAACGATCCTTTCGGTTGGCAGTACATCATCAAGAAAACATAGTCTAAATTTTGTTTGCTCCTCCATCGGACCCGGTCTTCGGAGTCACCGAGTGTAATGCGAAGCTTGTTGAAATCTGGATAGTACTCTGGGGATGGAGCGATTATGTCTACGAGACCCGAGTTCATTGCTTCCGGTAACCTGAAGTCAAATATTCAGAAATAATAATATTAATTTGTAATTTGTAATCRACATCGTAAATAATGGAAATAATTACTCACCGATTTTTGATTTCCACAGTTACTTGTTGCGTGTATTCCTGATCGATCTGTAACAATTATAACACGTTTGATATTAATATATTATATTATTTAACATATTAATCTATCGTGGTAACATAATCAATTATTTTATATTAAGTTGTTACAAGTATACATTACTTCGCCAATCATAACTACTATTAACGAATCTTTCTGTTCAGTTTGATTCATATTGCTTATGATGTTAATCAATGTCTGTATCAAGTAAGTCTGTTGTTGGCGACGAACAGTAGGAATTCCAAATACCATTGACACTAAAAGAATAAACACACATTTAAATTGTTGACATCATCATTCATTATTTTAAAATAGAAATCGATGTTTAATAAAATAAATGAAATTATAAGTGATTTAAGATAGAGATGAGAATAAAAATTTATTCAAATTTATGTTATTTTAATCTTGGATGGAGACGATCTAATTTATTTGAGTTTGTATAGATTGTGGTAGGAGGGAGATATTTTTGGTATWCTGGTGTAAGTGTTGAACTAAGTTTCAATTAATTACAAAAAATGTATGTGTATACATTCGTTTTATCAGTAGGATACAAACATTACACTTAACAAATATATTTAGATATACATTCATACAGTTCATTGAATAAAATATTGATACAATATAATCGAATGTGTATCTAAATATATTTGTCCCAACATGGACATTTTTGTTTACGAACCATGTACCACTATAAACAATCGGTGCTTAATTTTTGTATTATATATTGGTTATACGACAAACTATAATGTTAAACTAACTACAAAAAAGTTGTATTTATAACCTAGGTTAGTAATTTATTATAATTTGGACGATAAAAATATACAATAATCATAATGTGTACCTAATATTGTTAGTGACATTTTTGTAAGGTTTTATATTATATCATTTAATTACTAGGTAATTATTTTAAGTGCATGGTTTAATAGTAAAACGTAGTTTCAAGAATTTATTAACTGACAATTTATTCATCACGTACATTGAAATTAATAACTAATAATAAAATATCATTTTTTTATTCTCTTTTATTTCTTTATTAATCATTGAGTTATTATAATGTTTAGTTAAAATCTCAATATCAAAAAAAAAAAAAAAAAAMAAAAATTCTCTTTTACGATTAACAACTACTAACATCATTTAGATCAGTGGTTCTTAACGGGGGTGGTACTGCTCCCTTGGGGAATTTCGGTTTCTCTGGAGGGTATTGAGGGGGTGATGTGCTTTTTCAAACTCGAAGATTAAAAATAATACAATTTATTAATATTATATAACAACATTACAAATAAACATGAAATCAGAATATAGTTGTAATTGCGTACGCTATACAACGGCATACGTCAACGTCATGTTATCTAATCGCATTTTACGTATCCGGAACGTCTTATTTATAATAGATTTATTTTTACATTTTCAACCATTACTGGACTATTGTATACTGTACCTTACAGTGCGTGATTGAAATTGCAATGGTGAACGTCGCGTTTTCGAATAAACGAGTGTGTTTTTCTGACAAAATTAATAGACTTCATTTTAACTTAGTAATTTGAAATATAAATATTTTTTAATGAGTTATCATATAGTGCAAAAAATAAGTGCCATCAGTATTTAGTAGACTACCTAAATTTTGGTTTTATCGCATCACCATTTAATATACAGTTACCGTTTTCCCTTATATGTGAAAAAACATACATGCGAAAAAAATTTATAAATAATTTAAGAGAAAATAATTTTGCACTACAGATTGACGAATCAACTGTGACAGATAATAAAGCTATATTACTAGCTTACGTGAGGTTTATTAATGAACGTAAATAAATCGTCGAGGAAGTATTGTTTGTTACAAGTTATAAGTTTGATCACTGATATCAAAGGGTCGTCGATTGGGTTTATAGCCCACCTAAAAAAATCCGTCCCAAGTGTTATTTGTGTTGATTGTGTTATACATTTCCAAAATTTTGCTGGTAAAAACTAAAGTGGTGTCCTGCAGGAAACCCTTCAATTCGTCATAAAAACTGTAAACAATATTAAAGCAAGTTCATCCAATGACCGCATGTTTCGAGAAATTTGTCATGATAATGAAGATTTTGAAAGATTACTTTTACATACAGTAGTAAGACGGCTTTCCAAAGGAAAATGTTTGTGTCGTTTTWTTTCATTATTTGACTCTATCATTGAATTTATCGATAAAATTGATCCTGTCTTAAAAGACAATTTGAAGCAACCAAAAGTTGAGATTGGGTACCTAACAGATATTTTTGAAAAAATGAATGAATTCAATTTGAAGTTTCAATGGAATAAGATGAACTTTATCAAAGCCAAAGGAATAATTTTCTCATTCATTTTTAAATTTCATATTTACAGAACAAACATAAATCGTCAAGAGCTGAGTCAGTTTCCGAATGTCAAGTCATGTTCAGACGCAAATAGTTTAATCCCAGAAACCAAAATTCTAATTTTCACTGATCATATTTTTCAGCTCAAAAAAGAAATGAAATCAAAATTTCAAGACCTACATGAATTATAAATCTGTAATTGGATTTTAGATCCATTTTTGTTTGAATCTGTGGAAGATCTCAAACCTCATTTAYAATAAATGGAGTTCATCGATATTTAACACGACAGTGAGGCACAACTTGTTTTTACGCAGGTCGGTTACGAGCTTGCCTAGATTAAGCTTAAAAACACTTATCCACAACTATGGCAACAAGTTAAATTGCTGCTTCTCTCTTTCCCGTCAACGTATCTAGTTGAAAAAAGATTCAGTGTTGTTCATCTTTTGACGAAACAAGGAAATCGGTTGGACATTTGCAACAAAGGTGATCTACGTTTAGCTTTGTCGCTTTGGCCAATATCGAACCAGACATCACCACATTAGCTGCTACTCATCAGGCTCAGGGCAGTCAATGATAGGTATAATTTTTATATTTTATAATTTTTTATTTTTCATAGTTGAGTAACTCTTTTTGTATAGTGAAGTACGATTGTTTTATTAAATAGTGTAAAATATAACCATTACTATCTAAAAATAAGAGTTTTTACTTTAATTAACAATGTTATAATATTATACTGATGAATATATATATATATATTTTAAACAGGGAGATTGATTTATCAAACAACACTCATTTTTTTTCAAAAAGTATTGACTTTTTTCAAAATCGTAGATTTACACTCTTCTTGAATTGTATATATTTTTTATATTTTTTGCCATTATATTTAATAGGTAAACTACTATCAACTTTTGATTTTCAAATGGTGACCTATACTTAAAATTTCATAAATTAATAAAGCTATTTTTTTATTAATTATTACGTTAAAATATCAAATTTAGCGSTAGTAGTTTATGAGTTATASGTATTTAAAGTTTAAATTGGCGGAGTGGAATGGTACGGGATTACCCCGCAAAATGTTTGTCCACTACTCCGCTTGTCTAAACTTAAAATACTTATAAGTTATAACTCATAAACTACTCGTTCTAAATTCAATTTTTATGAATCAAAATACTTAGAAAAATATTCTGCTTTGGAATATGAAATTAAAAAACTATATTGTCATTCAAAAAAGTAAAAAACTTAAAAAATGATAAGGATAAAAAAAATATTTAAAAAATATAATTTTTTAATAAATTAATGAATTAAATKTTCTTAAAACAACTTGAAACTATGTAAAAAAATATTTTGAAAAAATTCAATACTTTTTTAAATAATGAGTGTTTTTTGAAAAAAGAATCACCCTGTATATGTATATATTTATAAGAAGTAAGAAGAAAATATAATTTTGCATGAGGGGGGGGGGCGTTAGCAGTTAGTTATTACGATAAAGGGGGCGATGATCTAAAAAAGGATAAGAACCACTGATTTAGATAATAAAATTAATTGTGCCTTATGTACCAACATATTAAAAATGAAAACAAACATACATGTACCTAGGTAATATAGTAGGTATTACAACTTTAGTTGCTTAATTAATACATAAGTTCAACATTTCCCAGGTAATCTATGAAATTACTTATTTTAGATTCTGAACGAAGTGATGAATGTATTGATTTTACAATTAT